AGCTGCACGCGTCTGCTCAGGTAGCTACCCAGCGTGAGTGTCGCCGGCTGTCTCACGACACCCTCCTGTGGCACCACCGCCTGGGACACCCCTCCTTGCCTCGCCTTCGTAGCATGCACTCTCGCTTTCTGGTTTCTGGTCTTCCCAGGTCTCTGCCTGCCCTCCCTCCCTCGCCTACGCCGCCCTGCATTCCTTGCGTCGAGGGGCGGCAGCGCGCCGCTCCTCACTCCTCCTCGTTCCCTCCCACAGAGGCTCCACTGCAGACTCTCCACCTGGACGTGTGGGGCCCAGCCCGCGTCCGTGGACAGGGCCACGAGCGGTACTTCCTGCTGGTTGTCGACGACTACACGCGTTACACCACGGTCTTCCCCTTGCAGCGCAAGGGGGAGGTCCCTGATGTTTTGATCCCCTGGATCCGCACTACTCGTCTCCAGCTCCGCGAGCGGTTCCAGTCGGACTTTCCTGTCCTGCGTCTGCACTCCGACAGAGGTGGTGAGTTCTCCTCAGACCTCTTGGCCGCCTTCTGTGCGGAGCACGGCATCCGCCAGACTTTCACGCTTCCGGCCTCTCCGCAGCAGAATGGGGTTGCTGAGCGCCGCATTGGCTTAGTCATGGAGGTCGCTCGTACCTCCATGATCCATGCGGCTGCCCCCCGTTTTCTGTGGTCGTTTGCGGTCCGGTACGCCGCGCATCAGCTCAACCTTTGGCCCCGTGTCTCCTTGCCGGAGACCTCGCCCACACTGCTGTGGACGGGGAAGGTTGGCGACGCGTCGCGTTTCCGCGTCTGGGGTGCTCGTGCCTTTGTTCGCGATACCACCGTGGACAAGCTCTCCCCTCGCGCCAGTCCTTGCGTCTTCCTTGGCTTCGTCCCTGACGTGCCTGGCTGGCAGTTTTACGACCCCGCCTCACGCCGTGTCTTTGCGTCACAGGACGTCACCTTTGACGAGTCGGTCCCCTTCTACCGCCTCTTCCCCTACCGCACTGCTCTTCGCCCTCTCCCGCCGCTCTTTCTTGCCCCAGGTCCTCCCCAGATAGACCCCCTCCCCGCGCCAGGTCCTGCTCCTTCAGGTGTTTCTCAGGTAGACCCTCCCGTCCATGCGCCTGTTGAGGTCACTGGTGACTCCGGTCCTGCTGGTGGTGGTGCTGTCCCTGGGGGTGCGGAGCTTGGGGGTTTGCAGCGTGGGGGTGCTGAGTCTGGGGGCGCTGGGCGTGAGGGGCCTGAGGGTACGGAGCCTGGGGGTGCTGAGCCTGCGCGTGAGGAGCCTGGAGGTCCTGCGTCTGGGGGTGCTGCGTCTGGGGGTGCTGAGTCTGGGGGTGCTGAGCCTGCGTGTGCGGATCCTGGGGGTGCTGAGTCTGGGGGTGAGTCGCCTGAGGGTCCTGAGACTGCTGTTACGCGGTCTCCTTGGAGTAGCCGTCTTCGTCCGCGTGTGCCTCTCACCTCCCAGTAGCTGCACGACTGGTACGGTCGCCGTCACCGTCGCGCTTCTGCACCTCAGGGCTCTACTGCTGGGGGTTCTTTTGCTGGCGTCACTGGAGCTGGGAGTGGTGCTGGTCCTTCGCCTGCTGGAGGTGTTAGTGTCGCTGGTCCCGGAGGTGCTCGTACTGGGAGTGCTGGAGCTGCTGGGGCTGACGGTGGCGTGTCTGAGGGTGCTGCTGCTGGTGGCACTGCGGTTGGAGACCCTGGGACTGGAGGTGCCGGTTTTGGGGGTGCTGCACCAAGTTGGGCTGGTGCTGAGGGTTCTGGAGCTGTTAGAGGTGCTGGGGCTGCTGCGGGTACTGGGACTGCTGGAGGTGCTGGAGCTGCTGAGGGTACTGGAGCTGCTGGAGGAGCTGGAGCTGCTGGGGGTACTGGAGCTGCTGGAGGAGCTGGAGCTGCTGAGGGTGCTGGAGGTGCTGGAGCTGCTGCGGGTGCTGGAGCTGCTGGAGGTGCTGGAGTTGCTGAGGGTGCTGGAGCTGCTGGTGCTGGTGGCACTGCACAGCCGCGCCTGTTCTTTGCTCCGCCGTCTCCGTCGTCTCTGCCCCTGCCTGGCTCCGTGCTTCGCCAGGTTCTTAGCCTCCCGTCGTCTACTGGTCTTCCGTTACAGCCTGGCTCACCTCTGCCTGCTCCTTCTCCTTACGCTGAGCAGACGGGGGGCCTTGCTGAGCGTCGTGAGCCTGCGTCGCGTCCTGTCTCACCTGTCCTTTCCGGTCGTTCCAGTCGTCGTGTTCCTCGTCAGCGTCAGCCGGCTGTCCCCGGCCCTTCCCTTGTCGTCCGCCGTCCTTCCTCTCCGCCGCCACGTGTTCACCTGCCGTCTCCGCCTCCGTCCTCTCTACCTGTCGTTGCTGACCCTGAGTCTGACCGGTTTCGTGCTGAGCACCCTACTGTCACGCGTCTGCTAGCCACTGTTGTCGCCGACTCGTCGTTTGAGTCTGCTGCTGCGTCTGCCTTAGTCGCTGAGCTTGTCGACTTTGCTGCTCACTGTCGTCTAGACTACGCCGCTAGTCTTGTTGCTGAGTCTGAGTCTGTCTGTCCTCCGTCCGTCGGGGGTGAGTGTGCTCTTGGCACGGACGTCCTTGAGGACAGGCAGGAGGACCTTGAGTGTCTTGCAGCCGCTGCGCCTCATCTCGTGTCCATGCTGCTTGCCCCTGAGGGAGACCCGGATGCTCCAGACATCCCGACCCCGCGCTCTTACGCTGAGGCGATCGCGGGTGAGTACTCCTCTCAGTGGCAGACAACCTTGGACGCAGAGATGGCATCCTGGAAGTCCACAGGCACGTACGTCGACGAGGTTCCCCCTCCTGGGGCGAACATCGTCAGCGGCATGTGGATTTTCAGCGTGAAGCGGCCGCCAGGTTCTCCGCCTGTCTTCAAGGCTCGTTACGTTGCTCGAGGTTTCAGTCAGCGAGAGGGAGTTGACTTCTTCCAGACCTTCTCCCCCACCCCGAAGATGACCACTCTTCGGGTGCTGCTGCACGTTGCCGCTCAGCGTGACTACGAGCTTCACTCTCTTGACTTTAGCACAGCTTTCTTACAGGGCAGCCTGCACGAGGAGATCTGGCTGCGCCGTCCACCTGGTTTCACTGGGTCGTTCCCTCTTGGTACCCAGTGGAGCCTCCGACGGCCAGTATACGGTCTCCGCCAGGCGCCACGTGAGTGGCACGACACACTGAGGACGACTCTTGCGGCTCTTGGGTTTGCCCCGTCGACTGCTGACCCGTCGCTGTTTCTGCGCACCGACACTTCGCTGCCGCCGTTCTACATCCTCGTGTACGTCGACGACTTGGTCTTTGCCACTGCTGACACTGAGGCGCTCGCCCTCGTGAAGTCGGAGCTGCAGAAGAGACACACGTGCACAGACCTGGGTGAGCTGACAAGCTATCTTGGCTTGCGGATCACCCGGGACAGAGCACGCCGCACCATCACACTGACTCAGTCACACATGGTGCAGCAGGTCCTTCAGCGCTTCCGCTTCACCTGGTCCTCAGCACAGGCCACTCCTCTGGCTATAGGTCACTCGCTCTCAGCTCCACCTTCGGACGAGTCCGTAGAGCCGAGTGGTCCTTACCCAGAGCTAGTGGGCTGCCTCATGTACCTGATGACCTGCACTCGTCCTGACCTTGCGTACCCTCTTGGCCTTCTGGCTCGCTACGTGGCTCCTGGTCGGCACCGAAAGGTGCACATGGATGCTGCTAAGAGGGTACTACGCTACTTGTGCAGTACATCGGGTATGGGGCTCGTGCTTGGAGGACGGGGTGACGTTGTCCTCATTGGTCACTCGGACGCCTCTTGGGTTGACGACCAGGCTACGCAGCGGTCGTCACAGGGTTACGCCTTCAGCCTTGGTTCTGGCTCAGTTTCCTGGCGTTCTACACGTTCGTCTTCAGTTCTCGGCTCCAGCTGTGAGGTCGAGATCTACGCCACAGCCATGGCTGCACAGGAGCTACGCTGGCTCACCTACCTGCTGACCGACTTGGGAGAGCGGCCTCGTTCTCCTCCAGTTCTGTACGTCGACAACAAGGCCGCCATTGCCTTGTGTCAGGAGCACAGACTGGAGCACAGAACGAAGCACATCGCTCTGCGTTACTTCCTTGCTCGAGAGCTGCAGCAGCGTGGCCAGCTTCGTCTTGCTTACGTGGCCACTCGGGCCAACACTGCTGATATATTCACCAAGGCGCTTCCGCCTGGTGATCATCAGCGTTTCTGCACCTTGTTAGGCCTAGTGCCCACACTTCCTCACTTGCTGTAGGCTTTGTTTGTACTGTGATCTATATATATATCTCTGCATGTGAACTGGCCTTGTGGTCTTTTGCTTGTGCTCAGACTGCGTGGTGACGTTGTGATCCACCCTGAGCTGTGTTTTGTTTCTTCTCTTGACTGGTCTTGTGACCGTTGTTTGCTCTGGCTATCCCCCATTTCGCCTATGGGGGTGTGTCAAATTATATATATGCTTGTTTAGGTTATCTAGGCTGTATGGGGGTTAGCACTAGGGGGTACACAAACTTTCTCGACACCCTAGTCTTGTACCCTAGCCTTCACCTAATCCATCATCCTTGCCTTAGGTTCTTAACAAACGGCGACATAGCGCCATACCAAATAGTGGGAGATGCAGCCTACCCACTCAGGGATTTCTATCTGACCCCCCTACATGCACCCCGTGAAGGCCTAATGGATGGCTGGGAGCAGTGCTTTAACTACTGCCAGAGCGCAACGCGCATGGCAGTAGAGCGCTGCATCGGCGCCTTCAAAGGCCGGTGGCGTCTTTTCGCGGGCCGCAATGATTGCAAGCTCTGGCGCATTCTTGCAGGGGCGTCTTGTGGCGTCATCCTGCACAATATGTGTGAGACAATGGGGGCCGTTAGGCGAGTCAATGCTTCGTGGGCAAACTTGCCCCGAAACCGGGACCCGTGGTGGACGCGTGGCGCAGTCGCTGATTTCAAGTGGGAGCCATGCAATCCGAACACGCAGGCGAATCTGAGAGAAAGGCGCAAGCGGCTGGGCGAGGCTCTGGAGTCGTCTTACCTCACTCGGCGGCGCCGCGAACCCACACCTCCTTGCCCGCATCAGGGTTAGAGGCGCTGTCGCGCGCCTGCCCGCGACGGAGCCAGCCGTTGTCGCCACCTTCGGCAGCGTGAGTTGCGGGCATGTTGTCCGCGTGCCCGGGGAAGCCGTCGCTGGCAGGCGGGTTTGGGGCCTGCTGCTGCACGCGTTCGCGGGCAATCCGCGCGTCCTGCTCCATCCATGTGCGGACGAGGCCTTCGAGCCTGTTCATCGCGTCAGAGTGGCACCCCTTGATTGTCTCACACACCAGCTTGGCGGCGGCCATCGTTGCCGTCTCTGCCACCCGTGGGCGCTTGGAGGTGGGCGTACCCTGCGGAGGTGGAGCTGCATATGCGAGATGCATTGTAATCATTACATGCTGTGTGGTGCGAACAATCGTGTTAACGGAAAGATCCCATTGTAAAAACAATATGTCAGACATGCACAACCACAAACAAAACACCCGTCGAACAGCGCAATCTCTCCCGTGAATGTCGGGGTCGAGGTGCAAAGTGCAGATGTGGACGGGACCGCGAACCCGCACGGCACGTTGACGTGTGCCGCGCCACCACCGTCGACGGCGTGCGGGTTGCCGACCGCCTTGTTGTTCTGGTAGAGCTCCATGTACGGGTACCAAGGGGGCTTGCACACCGCCCCCTTGCCGCTCGCACGCTCCCCCTTACTAATCTGCTTGTACATGCTGACGAGGTTGCGCCACTGCTTCTGCAGCGCATTCACGCCACGCACCCACCCGGAATTCTCCTCCTCGAGATGGCGCACGAGGCGGGCCCAGTACTGGGATCCCTGCTTCCCGAGGAGCTTCCCGAGCTCGTCCTTCATGAACCAACGTGCCGCCACGAAGATCGTGCTCTCGCGGTGGGACCACACGCTCCGCTTGACAGGGTGCAGGTTGCGGTTTTTGGCAGCGGCACGCGGAGGTTCCCCGCCCTTCGCGGCAGTCTTGGTTCCGGCCGCGGCAGTAGCCCGGGAGCGACGGGGAGACGGGGTAGCAGGCTGGGCCTCCTCGTGCGCGTCCTCGTCGTCGTCGGCGTACTCCTCGGCGTCGTCGTCATCTCCGTAGGGGGACATGCCCTTGTCTTCCTCTTCGCCAGAGTCCGCATCGTCGTCGCAGTCGTTGTAGTCGGAGTCCTCGGCGTCGTCATCGAAGGGGTCGTCGTCAACGACGCGGGAAGATGCAACCCGGTCGGTATCACGGCGCCCACGGGTAGGGACATCGCGCGGGGCTTCGAACGAGGTGTCCCCCGCACCCGGCGCACCATCGGGCAAAGGGCCGGCGGGCATACGGCCGGCAGCAATCTGCTTGTTCATCCAAGCGATGTACGGAATCTCGTTGAGATCCCGCGGGCACAGCTCGGCACTACTAGCTACGCTCATGCGCTTACGAGCCATGGCTATGGCGTGGAAGAAAATGCAAGAAACACGAAGTAGAGAGATGGGGTTTGGAGTACAGGAATAGATTGGAACGGGAGGGAGCTGTCACCCTGGTTGGAACGGCTTGCGCAGCTTGCAGGGACGTGACCGTGTGGTTACATCCACCACTCAGCTGTCAGCCCGGGCAGAGCGGTTTCCTTTCCCGCCCGAAATTTGCCCATTTCGAGCGTCCAGGTGCATGCTGTACAATGTGACATTTCGACACGCGTGCGATTTTTAGGAGGTGACGGGGCCTCGTGTAACTCGTCCGCGACACCCGCGCAATTCACGCCAACCAATGTAAAATACAGCGAGGATCGCATTACTGCGGTCCGCGTTTGTGACACAGTACGTTATATGCATTCTTTGCGCGTCACAAAGTGTTTCAGACACAAGTGTCTCCACAGGAATGTACCCTAAGGCACCATCCACTGTGATCAACAGCATAACCGATAGAACAATCCTGATTGCACTATCAACCTCATATCTTTCAGTGTATCCACACTGCAGTATTCTCTCCACCCTCACCCCTAGAACACACCTATCAGCTGCTTCCACAAGTGGTGGTCCAAGCACTCTGCTACCTAGACCCAGCCAGTATCTTGTCAAGCCGCACAGCGCAGGCCATGATGCCCACAACAGAGCTTCAACCAGGCTGGAACGCGCGGCGGGCATAGAAAGGATCCCTGCGACCAGACGGGGGATACGTCTCCCTGCCTCGGTACTCGGGCCGTGGGCCTGGGTGCCCCACCACACAGCCCGACATGGGAGCTGGCCGGCCACCCATGAGGTGCGATGCGGGGTAGCGCTCTGCTGCTCGCATTTCCGATGCTCTCATCCTGCCTATCGGAGCCCAGTCGCTGTTGCGGCTGCTCACCAGCCCACCGCCACCATCACTCGCATCCAGCCATGCCTGCCTGCTCGCTCCCTCTAGACCACCGCCACCACCAGCTAGACCAGCAGCGCCACCGCCACCACCACCTGCGGCAGCGGCTGCGGCTGCGGCAGCGGCTGTGGCTGCTGCTGCTGCTCCAGCAGTGCCTGCAGCAGAACGGGAGTCCTCTCCTTCCCCCGTCCCCAGCCCCAGCCTGCTCGCGCCCCTCACTCCTGCTGCTGCCATGCCTCTCGCCTGACCCATGCGATCAAAACCCAACCTACTCTCTCGCATCGTGTCCCCTCCTCCACTCTCCCCCATCCCTCCTCCCGGTCTTTCCCCACCCCCCCTCTGCAACCCAGCAACACCCTCCGCCACCCCTCCGCTCCCTCCCCCATCTGACAGGCCCCTGAATCCATCCCCACCACTTGATCTCATGCCATGAATTCTCAGCCCTGCTGGTCCTTCTTCGGGCCTCCTTCCCCCCACGTTTGCCCTCGCAACCTCCCCATCCCCACCTGCCCCTGCTCCTCCTCCGCCTCCTCCTTCTCCTCTTCCGCCCATCTGCATTCCCCACATCTCCTCCCCATCTCCACCCCCACCTGTTCGCCTGCTCATGAGCAACCCTAAACCAGCTGCTAATCTCCCTGCACTCCCACTCCCACCACCACTGCTCCCACTCCCACCCGCACCAGAACCCCCACCGGCAAAACCTGACTCATCCATTTCCAGCCCGCGTATCCCCAACCCCGTTCCAAGAGCATGCGGAGCAACACCAAGAGGGTCTGAATCGCCTGGAACCGAATTACCCAATGCTTCACCGCCAGCAGAGGAACCCACGTGGGCTCTGCGACCAAACTGCCAGGCGGCACAGAGGAAGATGAAGATGAGCAGGATGGGCGTGGAGAGGAAGGAGGAGGAGCGGCGCGAGCGTGCGGAGGAGACGGGCAGGCGGGAGCGGTAGATGGCGACGTTGTGGGCTGAGAAGGCCACTGCGAGGAGGGACTCCTTGTTGGAGGCGATGAGAGGTGGAGGGAGGGCGGCGGAGGCGAGGGCGGAGAGGAGGGATGGCGGGAGGGAGGGGAGGTGTGGCGGGAGTGCGGCGAGTGCGGAGGAAAGCGGGATAGTGAGGATGAGGGTTGGTGCCCATGGCTTGGAGCGGGGGGAGACGAAGCGGAATGGCTGCAGCAGCGGGCGGAGGAAGGAGGGAGGGAGAAGGTGGGAACAGGTGAGTGCGAGGCAGGGAAAATCAGGCTATTATCATAGCAGCACTAGAAATCAAACATGATAAATCAAGCAGTCTGATCATTTGAGGAAGCAGGGAGTGCCAATGCCTCAACAATCAAAACACAGGTGTGTTCGCCATGCGTGCAATCACAGCCCTAACATGCAGCAATGCATCACACCATGCATTGACGAATCACTTCTGACCGGATGACCCACCTGACCGGAGACATTGAAGATGAGCAGCGAGCCAGCCCCTGCCACAAACACATACCCATGCACCGCTGCCACCTTGCCCTGCCCCACGCCCACCACATCCCCCACCTCTCCCCGCCCACCATCAGCACCGGCAGCAACAGCGGCAGGAGGAGAAACACTTTCAGCCCCGTCACCATAGCCATCAGCAAAAGCATCAACACCGACCCCAGAAGCAGCAGCAGCAGCAGCAGCAGCAGTAGGAACAGCAGCAGGCTTAATGGACTGCAGCGCAGGTACTCTCCAGCGCACGCGGCAGTCAAACCAATTAGTATCCCCTGTAATCGTCACCAGCACCAGCTCGCCCTCTGTCGTCACCGCGTACGCGCGAGAGCGGCTGGCCGGGTCAAAGGAGAAGGCAGCGAGTGTGGAGCCGTTGAGCCCGTGGCACGTGGCGGGGTGCATGGTGAGCGAGAGCAGGTCCACGGACGCTGCTCCTGCTGATGTCAGGAAGAGCACCCGCTGGGAGGAGGGCGTGCGGATGAACGCCAAGGGGACACTGGGCCGACCGACAGCGGCAGCAGCAGCAGCCGCGGCAGCAGCAGCAGCAGGAGCAGGAACAATGGCTTCACCCGAGTTCGGACCCTTCCCTGAACCCTTTTCTTGTGCTTTCGCATCCGCACCTGCAGCATCAGCAGCAGCTGCAGCTGCAGCCTCAGCGGCCTCTCCGCCTCTCTGCTTCGACCGGGCCTCCCCTGCTCTGCCTTCATGCTGCAGACCTTGCTGCACGGGCAGCATGGTGGCATGGCCGTAGATGGAGCCATTGGATCGCAGCACAGCAATGACGCCCCCTGCACTGCCCACTAGTATGTACCGCGACGACCCTGACTTGTGCACCTCCAGACACGTCACTGCTCTCCACGGCACCCTCCACCCCGCCTGCTGCTGCTGCTGCTGATGCTGCTGCTGCTGCTGCTGCTGCTGCTGCTGCTGCTGCTGCTGCTGCTGCTGCTGCTGCTGCTGCTGCTGCTGCTGCTGCTGCTGCTGCTGCTGCTGCTGCTGCTGCTGCTGCTGCTGCTGCTGCTGCTGCTGCTGCTGCTGCTCGGTTTGTGCATCGCCTGCTGCACCTGCCGTCTGTCCCACAGCAGCAGCAGCAGCAGCGGCGGCAGCAGTCAGGGCGTGAAGGGCGCCAGCAGGGAGCAGCTCCACCACGGGCACCGCATACGACGCCAGCATACCGCCCTGCAACACCTCCCCGTGCTCCCCCGCAGCCGCCGCCGCCGCCGCAGCAGCAGAAGCAGAAGCAGCGGTGGTGGTGGTGGCAGGGGCGGCAGCAGAGCGGCCTCGGGCCTGCAGCTCGGGCACACGCACAAGGTACACAGACCCGTCCGCATGCCCTGTTGCCAGCCACGTCTCGTTGCGCTTCACTGCTGCCGCCACCAGCGCCGTCACCGCCCACTCCCCTCCCCTCCCCCCTCCCCCTCCCCCTCCCCCACGTGCTCCTCCTCCGCCTCCTCGCCCCCCATGGTCATGCGCGTGTGCATGCTCGTGGGAGTGCAGCGAGGGCGGGTGCAGGTGCAGCAGCAGGTGGCCCTGGGAGGAGAACACGCGCACATGGCCCGCCATGTCCCCCACTGCCACCAGCCGCCCGCCCGTAGGAGATGACAGGTCCAACGGGAGAAGCTGAAGGACGGGTGAGAATGGGGGCGTGAACATGGGGTGGGGACGTGGGGTTTGGGGGTTGACGGGACAGAAATTAGTGCTTAAGAATTCATAGCAAGTATCGCACGTCAGACCAGACCACCTCACCTCACCAAACTCACCTGCGCCAAACCCTGACTCCGCCACAGCCAACTTGCTACAACCTATCCCAAACCCCAACTTGGGCCAAATCAGCCGTCACCAGCAACACCTCCGCTCACCAGCAGAGCAGTGACACGAGCGCCCATGGCCGCTGTTCCCACCAGCTCCAAGCTACCAGTCCACGTCAGCGGCTCACTCCACCTCTCCGTCCCCACGCCCGCTCGCTCCTCCCCCGCTTCCCTTCCTCGCCATTCCGCGCCACCCACTCCTTCCGCTGTCCTCCACATGCGCTCTCCCTCCGCGCTTCCCCCCATGCTTCCCAAGGGCACAGCGTCTTTCACTCCGCCCATTCCGCCCCTTTCGGCATCACCTCCGCCAATGTTCCCCTCCTCTGGCCTTGATCCACCAATTCCCCCCCCACTCGCGCCCAGCCATCTCTCTGCGCCCAAACCCCAGTCCCCTGGCCGTGCGCCTTCCGCCCGTCTCCCCGCAAGCTCCGCCAGAAGCCGCTCCATGCGCTCCAAGCGCGCGCTCTGCCCCGCCACGGTTTCCTGCAGGCGCGCGAGCGCAAGGCGTTCCGCCTCCACTGCTGCGCGCACGGCATTGACGGCGGAAAGCACCAACTCCGCCGCGCTCGAACCCTCGGGCGACGCAGTCGAGGTTAGCGACGAGTTCAATGCCGCCACAGTACGGGTTGAAGCAGACACGCAGGCGTCGCTGTCGCCTGCTGCTTCTTCGGTACGGTCGCTGGCAGCAGCGGTGCTGCCGCATTCCCCGGCGCAGGTACCGGCGGAAGCGGTCTGCTTGTGTGCAGCCGGGAAGGACGCTGCCGACTTTGGTTCACCATCTCTAACAGTGTCCACTGGGTGCGCGCTCGAGTCGGTTGCAGCGGCTTTGCACATGCGCGCACCGGGATATCCCGCGGCGGCATCGTCCATAGTAGCCTCCCCAGCTTCACACCCACTAACTCGTGTAGCGCCCTCCGCCGCTGCCCCTCCCGCTACCGCCGCGGCATCGTCGCGAGCGTCGGCAGAGGAGAGGCGAGAGGCTATTTGAACGGCAAGCACCAGCAGCAGCAGCCAACGGACCGTGCTGCGCGGAGGACCAATTCTACTCAATGAAATCCCGAATTGGCTCCATGCACAAGCTTTTCGCGACCAAGACATGTCGGGCTCGAGCTCACTCCGCCTGTCGCGCATCTGGCAGGGTCGATTCTAAGAAGCGAGATTGGTAGCTGAGATCACCATGGATAGCGGAGGAAGAATTTCGATATTCTAAATGGCGTTTGAGTGCGTTGACTTTTGAGTCGACTCAAGAGTGCGTGCGGTCGAGGTGGATTGCTTAGTCATGAGATGCGGTGCCGGCGCAAACCATGGCCGGGTACTAAGTGAAGGAATATATTAGAGAGCGTAGCGATAGCGAGAGAGTCTCTGTTATGGGAATGATGTTGCGCCAGCAACTTGGTAGAGTTTCGGTAGCGTTTGCCTCTAAGGACTTAGTGAGAATTGAAGTAGCATTTGGACTTCACTAGGAAAATAGATATGAAACACACAAGCAAACACAAACATATATAGGCAAGCAAGAGTTGCACAATTGTTGCGTGGCGCTGCGAGTAACCCAACCCACACGAAAGTGCTGTGCAGGTGGGTGAACGCGCCCCGCACATTTCCAACCCAACTCGGCACCGGAATGTCTCACCGTGCACGCTACTCCTGCCAACACAGCAAGTGAGCAGCGTGCCTCACAAGCAAGGCACCTACGACCCCCAAGACTCGTCATTCCTAGCACCGATTCCGCCGAGTTCGCTGCAGTAGCTCACAGTCACCCGTAGTCACTAATGACCGCCACCGAACTCGTGCGTCGGTGCCGAGTAGACTCAGTCGTTAGGCGCCGACCTGCCAAGTCAAAGGTCATCGAGGGCCCTTGCTGTCGTAGGGCCCTCTAACACTAAGTGACACGTTTGGAGGAGAGCGGTTGGTGCGAGAACCGAGAAAGCGGTTTGGAAATAGCTGGGAGATCGTTTATTTCTGATGCGATGCGATGTGATGCGACCGCAGCCGGTGGTGCGCAGCAACATTCAGCGGAGCATTATTCGTGACTCTCATCGACGATGGCGTCACTTCCTGCAACACAACAGACTTGGCTCGACTTGCAGACAGCTGCTGCAGCGCTGCAGGCGCTCGCGACCACCGCAAGCCCACTGATTGCTGCTGAGCATCTGTGCTCGGAATGGTGGTGCTGACAAATAGTCTCTGCCAAATAATGGCTAAAATGCGGCTCAATGAGATGCTTTGCGTTCTACAGCTGTCAATAACGTATCTGAACCGGTCGGGTAGGGTACTGCAGGAAGATAACATCTGCCCTGCAACGAACATCCATTCATCGCCAACGGATCAGATGAGCTGCGTTCACCTGCTTCTTGGGTTTTTGAGATCTTTGATGCGTTGTGTGAACAGAACAGACGCTGTACACCTGATGCCTATTTCAGTTCCCTTCCCCATCTTTCCCTGTGCTCCTCTCTCGAGCACGCGCTCACCATGGGGAGAATGGGACTGTATTTGGGTAGCCAAGCGTGTCATGTCTGGGAAACTCGAATAACTTATTCGAGGTCAAGGGTATCTTGCTTTTGTCGTGGGCCTGTAACGTTCGGGCTGTTGGCTGGGAATGCCGACCACTGGGCGTATGGAGTAGCAAGGGTTGTGTTCAGAGTGGGCAGTTGGGTGAGCATTAGGGTGTACAGCGGGAGAAAAGCAAGGCGGCGAGGGAGAGGTGGGGGAGGGCAGGTAGGGAGGGAGGGAGGGGTGGGCTTGGACGCGGATGGACGCGGATGGACGCGGAGGGAGGGAGATGTTTCTGGAGAAGTTCTTCTTGGGCAGCCCATAAATCATCACGTGTACAGCATGTGCAATTTCCGGGCTGGACTGTTTTGCGAGTTTTGTCATCTTTATGGCCTCCCTCTGTATGTCAACAAGCAAAGCATCATGCAAGGGCGGACGTCAGGAGGGCAGATAAACGGGCAGCTGCACCAACAAATCCCCAAAAGTGTCAAAAGGGTTTCTGCCGAATCATATCGAGTTTCTTTATGGATCTGACCAACACACGACAAGAACGAGCCTGTGCCAGACAAGCGGCACACAGCACACCGAGGCCAGAGCTTTTTTTGGCCTGCTTTGGTGGTGGTCGTGGCTAGGTTTGGTGCTCGGTTAGGTGATTGTGTGGTCCGGTGGAGGTGAACTGACCAGGGTGGCTGACCAGGATGGCTGCTGTGGTTTGGCACAGATTCTCCTTGGACAGTCCAAGGAAAACCAATCAGGTGTTGATTGAATATGGGAGCTGCATGTGTCATCCATAGGCTGGTGCACATGCATGTACCCAAACCCCAAACGGTACAATCTCACCAGTGTACTCGTTTTACTGCTCATGTATTGTTACAGTAACTAGCATTTCCTTAACTACCTTACAAGGAAGCTCATTTCCTTGCATCACATCATGTCATCATCGCTCCACATCAGTTTGTTGCAAGTAAGCTCATTTCATTACCCTTTCTGTAATAATTATCCCATCCTCTTTTGTTCATGTTAGGAAGCCACACAACAACTACATTGACCACCCATAATTCATGATCAACGATGTTACAATCCCAAGTGGGACTTGGTGAAGGATCGCTCAGGGTTGATCGCAGAGTAGTGTTGCAGCGGAAGATTTGAATCTCAGGTCAGAGTGAATGTAAATGACTGAGTTGATAAAAGCATTTATATAAGAGTACAGGGGAATACGAAAAGACCTAGACTAGCCGTGTACTCTAAGGGGTGCATTTCCCTTATTACAGCAAATTCAAACCGTGCGGCGCGGGAAACCGTTTTGAACCTGTTCCCGCTCTTTTCATTTCAAGTGTTTCTGCCTGCATCGGTCTTGGTCAGACGGTTGCTGCGTCGCTTCGACTCTTCTGACTCCTCGACTTCGTACTCGGTAGAGTCGGCTCCTGCAGCATACAGGAATGCCTTACTCATAAAACTTCATATCGTAACACTCCCCTTCATTCCTGGGCGCAGGAGGAGCTGACTCGCTTGACTACTCCGGTGAGGTCAGAGCAGTGCTTGTACTGCTGACGTGGCAGGCGCTTGGTGAGGAAGTCTGCTGCCATCTCAGTAGTCGGGCAGTAGGCGAGGTCAACTTTGCCTTGGTCAATTTCGTCATTGACGAAAAAATACCGAAGTGCGATGTGCTTCGTGCGGTTCACGAAACCAAGCTTGTTCGCAATCCTGATGGCACTCTGGATGTCGCAGTGAAGGCGAAAGGTAGGCGAGGTTGGAATTTTCGCTTCCTGTAACAGCTCTTGCATGTACAGGCCTTCGCGAACTGCTGCTATCGCGGCGATGTATTATGCTTCAGCCGACGACAGGGCAACCAGCTCCTGCTTTTGTGAGTTCCAGGAGATTGGCCCAGTTGGTTCCAGGCGAAAAACAAAGCCGGTTCGGGACCGTCGATTGTCAGGGTCAGCGGCGTGATCTGCGTCCACGTAGCCGTTGAGGTTGAAGGAGGTCGTCGTCAGCGTGGAATAGGAGAGCCCAATGTCAGGCGTGGAGATGAAGTACTGCAGAGCGCGTTCCAGGTCCGGCTGGTTCTCAGCTACTGGCTTGCGAGAATACTGCGCCAGTTGGCTAGCGATGTACGAAAGGTCGGGTCGACATGTGACAGAGGCGAACAGCAGACAACCCAGTTGCTGCTGGTACAGTTGGAGCCCTGCGGGTGACAGTGGTTTGTTATCCGGTTTGTAGTTGGTGCTGTGGTTGTGGTAGGGAGTTGAGAGTGGTGCGGGAGAGATGTTGAAGCGTTCCCCCAGCTGCTCTGCATACTTGGAGGCTGACAGATGGATTGCTTCTGGCGCGTAAGTGATGTTTAACCCCAAAAACTGCTTCACTTCGAGGTTGATGGTGATGTCTACGCGCTGCGCCAGGTTCTCTTGAAACTGATCCAGAAGTTTGTTGCAGGTGCCCGTGTACAGCAGGTCGTCGACGTAGACTGTCAGGAGGATGTAGTCTCCACTGAAGTGAAGGCGATACATTCCCGGGTCGTGTGGGAGCTGCTTGAAGCCGATTTCGAGGAGAATTTTGTGCAGGTGCTGCTGCCAGAGGCGAGGCGCCTGCTTGATCCCGTAGAGGGACTTCTTCAGTTGACAGACCCTGGGATCACCTTCCCCGTAGGTGTGCGGCTACTCCACAAAGATGGTGGCGTCCACCAACACGTACAAAAACGCGTTCTTTGTGTCGATCTGTCGTAGTGGCAGGTGCTTTGCGGCGGCAATGGCGAGTAGAATCCGGACTGAGGTGTGGCGACTGACGGGAGCGAAGGTTTGATCAAAGTCGATGCCATGGCGCTGATCGTACCCGCGTACGACCCAGCGTGCCTTGAAACGCTCGATAGTGCCGTCAGCGTTAGTTTTCAGGCGAAAAACCCACTTCCCGCTGAGCACCCTCCTCCCCTTCACTGCTGCACGATCGACTAGGACCCAGGTGTCACGCGATTCCAGCGCCTTTAGCTCCGCATCCATCGCAGCACGCCACTCCTTGGCGTGAGGACCGGTTAGGGCCTGGCGAGGATTCTTTGGCTCCACGGCCCGTGCAAGAGTGGAGACAGATGTGTGCAGGCCGAGAAGTTGAAGGCCTGACACATTGGTGGTGTCTGTGTTGGTGGGGACTTCCACCACGTCGTCATCTCCGCTCTCATAGCCGGGTGCTGCGGTGCTTGGCTCTGCTTGGCGCCGTGATGGTCCTGGCGCGGGGTCGTCATCGCTGTCATCGTCGTCGTCGGCGCGCGGGCGAGGAGGAATGCCGGGATGTTCGTCGGTGTCGTAATGGTCCAGTACTGCTGCTGCTGCTGCGTCTTCTGGAGTCGCGAAGCTGCGGCCGCTGTTGACATAGCCGCGTGCCTGGTTTTGGCGCTCGTCCTCGATCCACTGCTTCAGGGTGAGTCGTTCATAGAAGAGGATGTCACGCGCAGGAACGATCTCATTGCTGTCGATGTCAAGAATGAGCCAGCCTTTATGCTCGTGACTGAGCCCCAAATGAACTCCCCAGCGCGCACGATGAACGAACTTGCCGATTGTTGCTGAAGTCGGCCGATATTGCACCATGCACCCCCAAACTCTCAGCATGGAGGGGTCTCC